ACTGGTTGGCTACCTCCTGCACACAGACCCCTACTGGGGATCGAGCCCACAACCCAAGCATATGCCATTGACCGGAATCGAACCCGGGACCCTTCAGTCCACAGGCCTACGCTCTACACACTGAGCCAACCAGCTAGGACAGCATTGCAGTTTTATTTATAATAGGAAAAGTGGTTGTATTGTATCTGTCCAGCAGAGTCTTATTTTCAAAGAATATATAACAGCATGGGAGCTATTCAGTACTAATGATAAATAATAAAGGTTCAAACTATTTGTCACTTAAAATATTTTCTTATCTTTTTATGAAAATATTGGAAGGAAATATGCCAAAATAATAAAAGTGGTTCTATTTGAGTCGTGGGATTACATATGATGGATAATTTGAAATTTTTTTCTTTACATGTGGTAGATAATTAAATTTTCTATGTTTAGCAAATGTATTTTTATTGAGTACCTCCTAAATCAGTGGTTCTCAACCTTCCTAATGCTGCGACGCTTTAATACAGTTCCTCATGTTGTGGTGACCCCCAATTTCATTGTTACAAATTGAACATAATTAAAGCATAGTGATTAATCATAAAAACAATTTGTAATTATATATGTGTTTTCCGATGCTCTTAGGCAACCCCTGTGAAAGGGTCGTTTGACCCCCAAAGGGGTCGCGACCCACAGGTTGAGAACCACTGTCCTAAATGCTTTGCATTGTTCTAGGAATTATACAGTAGTGAAAAAGGAGCTAACCAGGTCCCTGCACTCATGGAGCTTATTTCAGGAGATATAATCAGTAAAGAAGGAAACAAACAAATTAATTCATTTGCAGATTGTAGTAGATGCTAGGTGGGAAATTAGAGTGTTGAGTTAGAAAATAAGAGTGGAGCTAGCTAGGATGGTCATTTGTTTACTAACAAAAGAAAACCTGAAAGATTATGCATTTTATTTTTTAAGTTTTTTTAAAGAACATTGAATAGCTTCTGACCTTTGAGTTTAAAGCCACTGATTTTTGGGTTGCATTTTTATTCTTCATATTGATCTTAGCTAAGATAACAGCCAGACTATATAATTTTTCTATTTTGTAAATTTATTTTTTTATTTTTTAAAATTTTAATTAAATTACAAATTTTTAAATCTTTATTGTTGAAAGTATTGCATATGTTTCCCTTTTCCCCCAATGACCTCTCCCAGCCCACCCCCACCCCCAACCCCAGGTCTTCACCACCCTATTGCCTGTGTGTGTTCCTGGGTTATGCATATATGCATACAAGTTCATTGGTTGATCTCTTCCTACCCATGCCCACCCTCCCTTGCCTTCCTTCTGAGGTTTGACAGCCTGTTCATGCTTCCATGTCTTTAGATCTAATTTTGCTCATCAATTTATGTTGTTCTGTTTTGTAAAATTTTTAATAAGTTTTGGAAACTAATACTTAATAAGTATTATTACCTGCTATGCATAGTGCTTACTATTGAGCTGCATTATGACTTTATATAGGTTATTACCATTTAATGGATGCTTTGAATCTCAGAGAGGTTGAGTAATTTGGCTAACGTCCTACCTCAGTAAATAACTGAGTGTGAAGCTGAATTCAGGTCTCTTTACTGCCAAAAATTCATGTAACATGGGTAAGTTTTATAAAAGAGAGATGATGGTTCCTCATAATTATTTCTCATTTGTAGTAATAATAATACTAATCTCTCTCTGAGATTTTTCTCTCTAAACTTTCGGTTGGCGTATAGACCAAGAAGTAGCTATTTGAAATGATGTGCATCACATTTTCTGAATACTTATTTGTTTGCTAATTATCTTCCTTCTCTATCCTTCCCCATATTTCTGTAGGATCCTTCATCTGTACCTAATGCAGACAATGCTTTCACACTATTTTATGTGAAATTTCGAACTGCTGCTCCCAAAGTCAGAGTAAGTCTGTTGTTGTAAATAGGATAGTAGTAGGAAATTTATTTAGCCAGCCCTTTTGAAGTACTACTCTATGTTAGGCCCTTTGCTTATACCAGGAAAATGAACATAAATGAAAGAAAGGTAGGTATTGTCTTTCCACATTACACTGCATTATCTTAGAGTGCCTTTAGACCACAGAGCAGGAAACACCTCCTGAGATGCTTAGGGAATGTTTCTAGATGAAGGGGATATTTGAGCTTAAACTACTCAGATTTATAGTGGATTGGAGGGGATTGATTACTTATAGAAAATACAAATGGTTAATAAATATGAGCTCATGTTTAGCTTCAGTGGAGAATACATTCAATTTAAGGTTAGGTGGCATTTTATTTTATTTTTTTTTGTCTGTTAGAAACTGGGAGGTTAAGGTATAATAGTGGTTTTGAGGATTTAATGAGATAGGCAATACTGCTAATAGGGATGTAAAGCAATTTCTCAAAAATATTTTGGGCCTATAAAAAATATTTATCTCTTATGACCCAGTGTTGGGGGTTCCCCACTGCATAGTAGGTAACTATTATTATTTCAGCTTTATGTGGTAGAAAATGGAATCTCAGAGAAGTGAACCAGATCTCCTGGGCTCAAAACAGCTACTGTGGAGGTGGCACTCAGACCCTTCAGTTTTTCTCTAGATCCAGAGCTCTTAACCACTGGCCAAGATGTCTAACAGTAGAAGAGTGGTTGATTTATGTCAGCCATTCAATATGTCATCACTGTAAGTCTAGATAATATCCATTACATCTACCCAAGGGGATATTATGTAGTCATTAAACAAATTTTTTTTCATTAAAATATTTTTTTTATTGATTTCAGAGAGGAAAGGAGAGGGAGAGAGAGAGAGAGAAATATCAATGATGAGAGAGAGTCATTGATCAGCTGCCTCCTGCACGCCCCATAACCTGGGGATCGAGCCCATAACCCAGATAAGTGCCCTTGACCAGAATTGAACCCAGGACCCTTCAGTCTGCAGGCCGACACTCTATTCACTGACTGAGCCAAACCGGCTAGGGCTAGACAAATGTTTTAAATAATATTTATAATGATGATTCACTGAGTGTTTGCTAGATACCCAGGCATTATGCTAAGGCTTTCTTTTTACGTTTTCATCTGATAATGAAAATTATTTAATAATAGGAAAATGTTTTGAAACACAGTTAATTTTTTAAAAGCAGTATATAAAGCTGGATATGTAGTATAATTCCAGTTTTATTTAAAAAGAAAAATATAGTCGTGGCCATTGTGGGTCAGTGGTTGGAGTGTCAACCAAAGGGTCCCGGGTTTGATTCCCTGTCAAAGGCATGTACCTGAGTCCTGGGTTGTAGGTTTGATCCCGTGCAGAAGGCAACCAAATGATGTTTCCCTCCCCGCCCCTTTACCTGCTCCCTCCCTTCTACTCTGTCTAAAAATCAATGGGAAAAATATCCTCAGTGAGGATTAAAAAAAAGAAAAATATAGTAACTGTAGTATGTGTATACAAAAAACCGGAAAGAATATTCTAAAATATTAACTGATTATTTTGTGGTATTACACGTGATATTTATGTTTCAACTTTTTTGAATTTACAGATTTTCTAATAGCATGTGTTATAATCAGAAAGTAGTTAATAGTCCATAACTAAAACAGATAGCTTTTTAATGTGTTTTTTTTTTAATTCTGCAGACTCTTATTGAACAAATAGAACAGCGATCTGAAAAAATACCTGAGTGAGTACCTAGATGTTCTTCAGTTTCCAAACTACCTTCTTCTTAAAGTACTATTTCCTCCAGTCTATTATATAATTTTCTGAACAATTACCTTGCATACTACACAAGCTTCTTCTTATTGTGGGGAGCAGGGTTGGAGGCCTGATATAGTGAGTGTTCAAGGCACACTCTCTGTTTATTCATTTATTTATTTACTTATTTTTATTGAGGAATAATGATATACAACTTACTAGCTTCAGGTATACTAATACAACGTAATGATTCAATATGTCATCACTGTAAGTCTAGATAACATCCATTACCATGCATAGTTACAAAATTAATTTTTTTCTTGTGATGAAAACTTTTAAGATTTACTCTCTTAGCAACTTTTAAATATGCAGTGTGATATCATTAACCAAAATTGCTATGCTGTACATTTCATCAAGGCATCTCTTTTTCCCCATAGTAGGATTTTCTTTTCATTTCGGTAGATTTAAGATGTTGACTCTTGGAAGATAAATCTTTCATTAAAAAATAAAGGTTTAAACTCCAAGGTTAGAGAATTTAATTTACAAATTGAATACACACTCATATTTTGTTTAAAAAACAAAATGATAAAGGTCATGACACCACAGTTTATTTTGTGTATCCTTTTATACACACACACACACACACACACACACACACACAGACACACACACGGATGTGCCCAAAATGTTCATTGCCTCATTGTTTGTAAAAAACAAATAATAATGATAATTAATTAT